TCCTAGACCAGTTGCCATCCAAGGCTATAGAACCCAGTCTGTCCATAGATGGAGGGAGACGCAGAGGAGTCATACCTTTCCCAAGGGTATTAGCACTTAAGTGAATGTAATGGATTCGACTGGAATTCGAACTCGGCTCTCCGATTCCTCAATCCGAGCCGATATCCATTACTCCACCGTGCCTCCTATGTCATTAGATAAGATATCGCCAGACGAATATCCGTGGCTATAGCACTCCACCTGCAAACTTAGAGCATTGCCTGTGCAGAATTCGGCTGTCTGATTAGGCTGGCGAGTGGCGAGTGGCGCGTGCTACCATGATAACATCAGCTGCATACAAATTGTCGGCCTGTTTTTTTTTTATCATTTGATTAATCAGGTCGTAAATCAGTCTGGTCATAAGTCGGCCTGAAATTAATTTTGCAATTTTTCTTTAGGCATTATCGTATGTTTTATAATTTTGACGGTTTCTTTACATTTGACATTGTTTTATACCTTACTTTTACGTTCGTCACGTTTAAGTCAAACTCTGCATACGACAGTGCTTTCTTTCTTTTTATGTGCCATCTCCTTTCAGGACGTAGGTGATCATGGCTCTCCACCTCCTTCTATCCCTTGTAGCTCTCAATATGTTCCTTCCCTCTGCTTCCTCCCCCAGATCACGTTCTGTTATCCACTTGCTTAAGTCCGCCAGGTATGTCACACGTTGTTTACCTTTGTTTCTCTTTCCATCTATTCGACCCATGAGTTTCAGATTCTCCGGGACTTCCTTCCTCATTGTCACAGAAACTTCAATATTAAGTATAAGCCTCTTCCTTGTTTTCAACCTTTCTACGATCACATCGTTACTCACACGCTCTACTAATGTTGTCATTATCATCTTTCTGTAGAACTACATCTCTGTCACCTCGAGTCTCTTCTTCATCTTTGAGGAAATCGTCCAACATTCGCTGCCGTAAAGAAGGACAGATGTCACGTAACAGCTCATTATTCTTTTCTTTGTTACCAAAGAAATCCTCCTGTCTCGCAGTACTCCGCCTAGCTTTTGGAATGTGTCCTTGGCCATCCCAATACGCCTACCGATCTCAGTGTCACACTTACCATTCTCTGTCAAGACGCTTCCCAGATATTTAAACTTCCCCGTCTGCTCGATTCTAATGTTCTCGACTTTCAAATCGCATTTCGGGCACATCCTCTTACTGACGAGCATGTATTCTGTCTTCTTATAGTTTATGCTTAGTCCCTTCTTCTCACTCTCTGTCGCTACCTTCTGTAGGAGATTTTGTAATTTCACTTCCGTATCTGCTATCACTGCTGTGTTATCGGCGTATCTAATGTCGTTAAGATTGTGGCCGCCAATGCTAAACTCTGGTAGGGTTTCCAATTCTCTCAGAAATTCCTTGCTGTATAGTTTTACTACAGTACAGTTAGTAGGCTTAATACAGGGTGAGCCAAAAAAACGGGAACTTTTTAACAATCCAATAAAACCAAGGGTGACGGAAGAAAAATATTTTATTCATAGTAATTGAAACCTTAAAACATGCCATTTAAGAAACAATGATGGAATTTTCATTGTTTTTAAAATTACGTCCTGTAGATAGCGTCCTCCTGTACGAATGCATTCTTGAAATCTGCTGTTGAGATTCCTCATTGGCTGCTGCAATATCTCAGCTGGGATACTGTGAATTTCATCTTGAATTCAAAATGGCGAAATGTTTACTTGCTCAAGATCACTGTCTCGCAGTTTTACCACTTGTTCATCTCTGGCAATACGCACTTCAAAAATTCCCGTTTTTTTTGGGGGGGGGTCACCCTATATTTGCTAAACATACAAAAGACCAAAGTGCAGGTGCTACAAACAAAACACTTTAGTTCCGAAACATACCAAGATCCATACAAATACAAAACATCTTATTAGCCGAAACATATCAAAATACGTTCCCCTTTTATGTGCCGTGTCCCTTCAGGTCGCAAGCGATCATGGTCCTCCACATCCTCCTGTCCCTTGTTACTCTTAATAAGTTTCTTTTTCTTTTTTTGGTTTTCCTCTCACACCCTCTTGCTGAAACCCATTAAATATTTCCCCTGTTTCTCTTTCCCTCTATCCGTCCTGTGAGTATCAGATTTTTCAAGCCCTCCTTTCTTATTGCGTTTCAGCTTCCTCTTTCTGATGTCAAGTATGTGTTTCCTCATTATTTCCATTATCTTCAGAACATCGTAGTTGCTCATATCTTCTGCGCATGGTGTTCTTAGCATCCTTCTGTAGAGCCATATTTCTGTTGCTTCTTCATCTTTTAAGTGATTGTCCAACATTCACTGCCATACAGGAGGACCAAAAACAAAACACTTTTAGTTCCGAAACATACCAACATCCATAAAAAAACACCCAAGTAACGGTAGTGTATTCTTTTCTTTGTTTCAAACGAAATTTTCCTATCTCTTTATACTCTGCTTAGCTTTTAGAAATAATCTTTGGCCATCCCAATACTTTTTCGGGTGTCAGGGTTACACTTTCCGTCCTCTGTTAGAACATTTCCCAAATATATAAATTTCTGTACCTGCTTGATTTTAGTATCCCTGACCTCTAATTTGGATTTCGGTGTAATGTTTTTGCTAATGGCCATGCATTCTGTCTCCTTGTAGTTTATGCTTAGTGTTATGGTCCGGTTCCTTGTACCACGGTGATAGTCCAAGGTAGAACCAATAAAGAAGAACTCGAATACGGATATGAAAAAACACAGATATATTACAAACAGGAATATATACAGAGAAGTAGAAAAGTGTTAGTACGAACAATCAGGTTTAGTAGTAATTGTCTGAACGCGACACTGCTTCGGACTGCCTCTGACTCGACAGACTGACTCGCTCGAACTTCACTCCAGACTTCAGACTGAACGGTATTTAGTCACCCCACCACGAGGGTATCATGTGGCACAAGGCCGGTTTAACGTGGGATCTCCGATCCCGTGGGTTCGGCCAAAAATATGCCCTTTGAACCCGTATAAACGGGTTCAGGGTCGGTTTACCTTCCCGAAAGAGACTCCGCCCTTCGGCGTAGCCTTGTTCGGGTTTCCCTCCGCCCGATGGCAGAGAGTTCAACCGATCAACCGATCAGCTGGTCGCGCGACTTCGGACTGAACTCCCTGCTTCCTCTTGAGGCGCAGTATTTATTACGTATGGAATAGTCCATTATGTTATTATGGGTAAGGTCCCATAGCACATAGTCCCTTCTTTTCGCTTTCTTTCACTACCTTCTGTAGGAAGTTTTGTAGTTTCCTATCGTGCCTGCTATCAGCACTGTGTCATCTGCGTATCTTATGTTGTTAAGATTGTGGCCACCAATGAGGAATCCTGGCAAGCTTTCCAGTTCTATCACATTGCCTCGCTGTATACGTTGAATAAGTCCGGTGAGAATACACATCCTTGTCTTACACCCCTTTCTATATTTGTCTATCTACTGAACTCACTTTTATCCGTATGCAGGCCACTATGCATTCTTGATTATTCTAATATTTTCCCGAATATCTCAAGTTTCTGAGCATATGTAACAGATTCTTGCAGCGTACTCTGTCGAAGGCCTTTGCGTAGTCTATTAAACTCAGATACCCGTCTTTCTGCATTTTTATTGCTCTTTCTGATAACATTCTGAGTATAAATATCGCGTTCCTAGTCCCGATGTCTTTGACGAACTCGCACTATTCTTGCCCTATTTCCGTTCTGATTCTGCTGTGAGTTTTTTTTTTTTTTTTTTGACACCCCAGCGCACAAGTATATATACATGTTTATGTGGGGATATATATATATATATATATATATATATATATATATATAATTTTTTATAATTTTATATATCAAAAAACAGTATTTAGAAAAATATGACAAACTAGAAAGTTTTTTGTGGCGTGTTTCATCAACATCAACAACGCCCAGTCCAATGAAACGCGTCACAAGAACTTTTTCCAGTTCGTCATAATTTATATATATATATATATATATATATATATATATATATATGTGTGTGTGTGGGTGTGTGTGGGGTGTGTGTGTGTGTGTGTGTGTGTGTGTGGAAGTATGCATTCCACTTTTGATCCGTCCGCGACTAAAACGGCTACCCCATTCCATGTACTTGCGAGTGAGACCAGTAGGACGAAAAAAAAAAGACTTAACAAAGGGCGGAAGAACTCTCGATGAGTCAACGGCCAGCTATCTAGAGGTGGTGTCGCAATAAATCACCGTGGAGATGACAACGGGAAAACACTCCACTGTTAATCCCAAGAAATATAATGACCAAAATATATACAAAATATCTTATTCGCTGAAATATACCAAAATACATACAAATATTAAATTATTCGAAACATTTCTAAGACACAACTCATCTCGTGTGGAAAGTCTGTTGTATGGAGACGGCCCTAACACTTATTGTCGTCCACCAGTCTGGGAATCACTCACTCTGCTAGACGCGGAACAAACATAGCCAGACGGCCAGGCATATCAATACGCGTCGTAGTCGTAAAATCAAACAGTCGACCACGACCTGTATATTAACTGGATTTTCCTTTTTTTCAGTCCTTTTGCGTATCTCTTCGATAGCCGTTAATTGTCTCTCTCAGATTCTTGGCATTCCTTTATTCTCGTTTGAATTATTCTTTTCATTTATTTATGGTGTTGTTGTCGATAACCCTATGCTGTTGTTAAATGTTAACCTTATTGATAAAATCTCACGGTTATTGCTCTTCAAGTTTGACACGAACAAATGTAAGGACCGAACAAGCGACTCCAATTCCATACTGGTGCTTTTAACATTAAAACGGTTGTACGGGCCGAGGAGTAAGCAGATGCCTATTTCCCAGTAACCACGCTGATGCAGATCTCACAATCCATTACAAATCAACTTGCTATTCATTCTGCATTCAAGAAGGATCTATTATTCTTTTGAATCAATCAATCTATTAATCTATCTATCTTCTCTAACCCTCTCTCTTTCTCTTTCGCGCCCTTTAACTAGATAGATAGATAGATAGATAGATAGATAGATAGATAGATAGATAGATAGATAGATTGAGATAGACAGATCGAGAGAAAAAGAGAAAGAGAGAGAGATCACTAGAGATCACTTTGGAGAAATAGATAGATATATATAGAGAGATAAATGGATAGATCACTGTGAATAGATAGATAGATGTGGACAGACTGAGATAGACACACAAAGAGTGAAAGAGAAATCACTTTGAACAGATAGATATGAATAGATAGATAGATAGATAGATAGATAGATAGAGATTAGATAGATAGAAAAAAAAGAAAGATCACTAAGATCACTTTGGAAAAAATAGATATAGAGAGATAAATGGATGATCACTGTGAATAGATAGATAGATGTGGACAGACTGAGGACAGACTGAGACAGACAGATAGATAGATAGAGAAGATAGAGAAAAGAAAAAGAAAGATCACTTCGAACAAATAGATGTGATAAAACACTGTGAATAGATAGATAGATGGACAGACTGAGACAGACAGAGGAGATAGATAGAAAAAGATCACTTGGAACAGATAGAAATAGAGGAATGATATAGAAAAATAGAAACACACTTTTTTTTACGAATTAAGCGATCATCAGATCATGTTTTTAATCCTCGTTGTCTAGGCTGTCTATATAGGTCACTAGCAGCTTACAGGAATACGATAGGAAGAAAGTTTTGTCTATTTTTTGTTTTGGAAAAATATTATTTACTGTTCTGTCCTTGACATTATTTTTCTATTTCTTTATTTTTATTTGTTTTATTTTATGTCATTTATTTATTATTATGTGTAACCAAATAAACCTAGAAAGAAAAAAATGGCCAAGAAGACAAAAGTAAAAAAAAAAAGACAGACGTTTACCTACACAAAAAAACTAAAGTGCAAAAGGTCTCCAGATTAAACTAAGACCTAACTGCTAAGTCTTAGCAGTAACACTAAAACACACCAAAAATATCAGAGCTCGGGAACTTCCATCCAAATCGTAAATAGGAAGATCGCCATATCATAAGACTTTGGGTTACGATTTAAATAGAAATCCTAGAATGCTGCTTGACGTTTGTTAGTATTATTTTGTGTATTTATTCAATTTCCTTCATGTCCTTTGGTATTTGAAATAAAACCCATTACATTAAGCTTATGAATTATTGGCTTTTTCATTTCTTTTTGTTTATTTTTAAGTTGTGATGCAGGTGTTGTTAAATTACTAGAAATTTCCATTCGTGTCGAAATTGAAACTGAACTCTTTTTTAAAATATATTATACTATATCCATACAATAATTAAATAAAATATATTAAATAAATGTCAATAAAATTAAATTAAATTTATTCAGATTCAGAAACCCTTAACGTCTAAGTTGCTTTATTACCTTGCTTGGTGTAAAATATTACAAAAATATACCTTATCCCAGGTACCGAAGTAAGATGTAGGTATATATTTTCTACTGTTCAAAACGAGATTAAAAAAGGATTTGAATGCTTATCTCTTTTGCATGGATGATTTCTACATCTTCTATGTGCCATATCTCATACCAGGTCGTCGATGATAATGGCTCTCCACAGCTTCTTGTTCTTTGTAGCTCTTAATAAATTTTGTCTTTTTGTTGTCTCTCCTAATCATTGTTTCGTTATACATTTACTCAAACTCGCTATGTAGGTTATGTGTTGATTTTCATTTGTCTATCTTGCCTTCAATTTGTCTTGTGAGTATCAGATTTTCCAAGACTTCTTTCCTCACTAGAAAATTTCAATAGTCTTTTCCTAATTTTAAGTATAAGTGTCCTTTTTGATTCCATCTTCACTAAAACTTCATCGTTGCTCACATATTCTATCCATGATATTCTAAGCTTCCTTGTATATAACTAGATTTCTGTCGCTACACGTCTCTTCTTCATCTCTAAGACGATCGTCCAGCATCCACTGCTTTATAGGATGACTGGTATTAAAATTACCCTTTTCTTTGTTTCTTACAAAATTTTCCTGTTTCTTAATGTTTTGCTTATCATTTGGCAGGAATTCTTTAGAGCTCTTAATATATTCTGGGATCTTTTGTATTATTTCTCCTAATCTTTATTCTGGCAACCATTGACACAAGCTTCTTATGTAGATTATGCGCAGAGGATTGTCCTTTTTATCTTCAATATGCCCTCTTTCTTCGTTATGTCCCTTAGAAATTTCAACTGACTTTTTCAAGATTAAGTTTCCATTTTGTTGCCATTTTCTCTAAAACTTCGTTGTTGTTTCCTATATTAAGTCATTCTCAGAATCTCGATCTATAAAAGGCAGGATGTGTGTGTGTGTGTGTGTGTGTGTGTGTGTGTGTGTGTGTGTGTGTGTGTGTGTGTGTGTAACGAATGCACGGCCGCAAGTTTCGACGGATTTGCACCAAAATTTACATGCACATGCTCCAAGTTAGCCGGAACGCCAAGACCAACTTTGCATTTCCCAACTCCCATCGATAGTGAAAATAATCGATTTTTTCATGCTTCTACGGCAGTTTTCGTGTAGTTTGCGGCCATTTTTCTACTTGTCAGAGTGAGAGCCTATAGCTGGCTGCCACGAATAGGCAGGAAGATTCTATTAGCCAGCGTCAGAGCCAACAGCTGACTGGCAGGAATGTTAACTAGCATGCAAAAAAAAATCGATAGCTGCATTCGTCACAAGAGGGAAAAATTTAAATCTGCATGGCACGTTACTCCAATTGGCTTATTCACTTGCTTAAACTCAACGTTGATTCTGATTCCGCAAAACTGGGTTGGGTGTGAAAAAGTATTTGTTGTTAACATTCTTTTTTCATTCGGTTTTTCCAGTTACGACTCCTTTTTTAGAGCTGATCGTTTTGTGTTCATTTTGTTTAGTTCTTTTTTCGTAACAGATTTAATGTTTAGTATAGAGCTTAGAAAAGATTCGCAGTGTGAGATAGGCAAAAAGTAAGGCATGTAGCAACATCAGCACGGCAAAGGGCACTCCTTTAAAGGCAAAGAAAGGCACTTTTAAGTCAAGTGATAGCGATTACTGTATAAGTCAATCGATTTTTGAATCAAGCAGGGGCAACGCTGGGCCATGATGCTAGTTCCTTCTATAGAAAAACTTTTCTATTGTCTCAGGTGCATTCTTCATCTGTTAGGAGATCGTCCATCATTCACTGCCATATTTCATAACAGTTTATTTCCCTTTTCTTTGTCTCTGGCGAAATTTTCGTGTTTCTTAATATATTGTTTAGCTTTTGGAAGGCATCTTTCGCTTTTCCAGTGCGCCTTCTGATTTTGGTAACGCATTTTGCGCCCACTTTTAAACCAGTCACTTCTACTTCCTTGTAGCAAAATTAGAAGAAAAAAACGAGAAAGTATACGCAGTGGGCTAGAAATTTGTTATGCTTTCCGCAGAAATCTGTTAAGTCTTGTAGACCACGGCTGGTATATTTGATCCTCACCATGTGCCCGCCGTTCACTTGTGGAATCGAGAATTCCACCCTTTTGCGCGTGTGCGCGCGCGGACTGCACCCCTTCCTGTCACGTTCAGCTAGACATAGCAGTAAACAGCCTCTTTTTGGCTGACGTGGGGAAGGTTGCTTGCTAGCTACTCCTGATACCGTCTAGGATCAGAATTTGAAATTTTCCCGCGCGTTTCCTGACGTCATCGACGAACAACGTTTTGAGTCAGTTGCGGCCTGATTTTCAAGCTAGCAGGTCAACTCATTTATTCCGTGCTCCTAACCCATACGCGGGCCGGAATATCTTATTCTTAACTAACCAAAACCATGTCGATATCACACTTTTCCAAGACTCATCCTAGTCTTGGTGCAAACAGCATGTTGAACTTTCCTCCGTTTTCAGCTAGAAAATGTAGAGTTCTACGACACCGTCGTCAATATATTTTTCCAAGACTCATCCTCGTCTTGGTGCAAACAGCATGTTGAACTTTCCTCCGTTTTCAGCTAGAAAATGTAGAGTTCTACGACACCGTCGTCAATATATTTTTCCAAGACTCATCCTAGTCTTGGTGCAAACAGCATGTTGAACTTTCCTCCGTTTTCAGCTAGAAAATGTAGAGTTCTACGACACCTTCGTCAATATATTTTTCCAAGACTCATCCTAGTCTTGGTGCAAACAGCATGTTGAACTTTCCTCCGTTTTCAGCTAGAAAATGTAGAGTTCTACGACACCGTCGTCAATATATTTTTCCAAGACTCATCCTCGTCTTGGTGCAAACAGCATGTTGAACTTTCCTCCGTTTTCAGCTAGAAAATGTAGAGTTCTACGACACCTTCGTCAATATATTTTTCCAAGACTCATCCTAGTCTTGGTGCAAACAGCATGTTGAACTTTCCTCCGTTTTCAGCTAGAAAATGTAGAGTTCTACGACACCGTCGTCAATATATTTTTCCAAGACTCATCCTCGTCTTGGTGCAAACAGCATGTTGAACTTTCCTCCGTTTTCAGCTAGAAAATGTAGAGTTCTACGACACCGTCGTCAATATATTTTTCCAAGACTCATCCTCGTCTTGATGCAAACAACTCAGAATGTTCCTTCACTGAAGAAGATTGATAAACTTTTCATACGCCTATGAAACTTCTAACCCTTATTGAACCAGTTCCAAAAAATATAACATTTCACATACATTACTAAACCTCACATTGAGTACCTTTCCTATTTGTGTACACATGCACCTTTCGTACAACAAGACATTTTTCCAGAACTTTCTTTCTGATGAAAGTTTTCCCGCCTTAGCCATCTTGGTTTTCTGTTTTGGCGCGGAACTTTAATATTCTAATAGTCTCTACATATTACTAACTGCCTACAGACTAAAAAATAACAGACCTAACCTTTTCTGATGATCTCCACGGTCGAGACTAGATTATTTGTTATTAAAATAAAATTTCTTATTGTTTTCCACCAGACTCATTTTGTCGTTTAATCCTGGCTATCTACTTGTATTATTTTTATGCACTTGTTGAATGGACCCTTTTCCTCACTAAGATCACTCATTCAATATTTTTACTTTGTTTGTGGATTCGGTAGTCATAAGTAGTGTCTGGCACAAGGCCTCATTTTAATAAACCAGCACTGCATACTACTGGGCCCGCAACACACTTGTGACTCTTTGCCAAACTACGCCAAAATATCGCCTCTTGACACGAATGTTCTGCACTGTTGTTAGATTGACAGAATAAATAAATCCATTGTTTAATCAAGTGACAAGTATTCCCTGACGTCCAGACACCAGACATCAAACAGTAGAAATAATATCAAGCGATTGAGACTAAAACCTATAATCCAATCAATATCGTCGGTATAACGCCATTATTTTATCGCTCTCTGTCACAGTTTGTATTAATGTTAATCTGATCGGTTTGAATTTTTCCCGAAGCGGAATTTTTCAGCAACATTCGAGTACCAGGAGCTGTAAGCGTGAATGTACAGGTTAACATCTCCGAATTATAAATCGGAGAGCCGTGTTATATATATATATATATGTATATATATACCATATGTATATATATATATATATATATTTACACACACACTAACATATATATAACATATTTTATATATATATATATATATATATATATATATATATATATAAAACATATTGTTGTGGTACGATCCACCTAATTTACATAAGTGGAGTACCGACCATATAAATATGGGTTGGTACCGGGAAGACGAGGGAAGAAGTAAGAAGAGATCCAATCCAGAGACTCTGCCCGACTGCGATTAAGTCAACCCATTCTACAGGAAACAGTCTTCCCAAGAATATACCAAAACTAACTGTAAATATTGTGTACCTTTTCCTTGTTTCAATATATTTTGTTTACGTACATTTTGTGTTGTATTATTATTATTCCATGCTTATCCAAGTTTCAACACATATATATATATATTTCCACACACACACACACTGACATATATTTAACATATGTTATATATATGTATATATATATATATATATATATATATATATTTACACACACATACACACACACACACACACACACATATATA